TTTTTTTTGCTGTCTTTATAAATAGCTATTCGTGTACACAAATGCATTTGACGGCTTCAAGTGGATAGTTGAGGAAGAAAGATGTTAGAGTTATAACATGCGTCCATTCATAGTAACTATGGCAAGTGACCTTTAACTGGTGTTATATAACTGTTCATTGTCTAGAAATTCTCAACTTCGGCTTTCTGCCGTTGCTAATTCCCAATAATCTAAATCCACAGCTCGGGTAACCTTTTCCAAGCTTTTAAAAACTCCCTTCCTGTGAGGGCTGACTTCCGGGATGAGTCGGCCCATAGTAATTACCTCACGAAGCGGTAAGAAGATCAGTGACTCGATGCGACTGTGTTCAAGCTTTTTTTTAGAACAAACCACTCAATGGTGAAACCTTCACACGATCGTTAATCTACAGATAGGGGTAGGTTTGTTTCCCAACTCCCATGGAATACGGAAATGGGAACGAATACGTAAATTCTCCCCTTATACTATGCGATGAGTAGATACTTAAGTAAACGTGCAGGTACACAGAAAACACAGGCAAACGCGCTCCTACATTCGTTTCAATATGGAGATCTTCACCGCAGCGCTGCTACTGCTCGCCAGTGCAAGCAGTACCACTGCCACCAATTCGTCGTCGTCTTACACGAACCCGATCCTTCCAGGCTTTCACCCCGACCCCAGCTGCGTCTATGTCGAAGAGCTCGACCAGACGTTCTTCTGCGCAACTTCAACCTTCACCATGTTCCCCGGTATCCCTATCCACGCCAGCAAAGATCTCGTCAACTGGAAGCTCGCGAGCAACGTGCTGAACCGGCGGGAACAAGTGCCCTCTTTTGCCTCGGCGCCTACTGGACAAGACGGTATCTTCGCGCCTACGCTACGCTACTACAATGGTACCTTCTATCTCATTACTACGAACGTCGCCATCTCCACCTACGCCGACTTCACCATGGATAATATCATCTTCACGTCCACCGACCCCTACGATAGCGCCGCCTGGAGTGTCCCTACGAAATTCGACTTCGTCGGCTACGACCCCAGCCTCTTCTGGGACGACGACGGGACGGCGTACCTCACAGGTGCGGGCGCCATGACCACTGGTACCGCCATGGCGCTGGCGACGATCGATACAACCACGGGCGCCCTTGGTAGTATCAGCTACCCCTACAATGGCACCGGTATCGGCACTGCCGAAGGACCCCATCTCTACAAGAAGGACGGCTGGTACTATATACTCGTCGCCGAGGGGGGTACCGAAGCGCTCCACCGCGGCTCGATCGCGCGGTCGCGCAACGTTACGGGGCCGTACACCAACTACCCGGACAACCCGCTCATTTCGGTCGCGGACAGGAACAGCTCGTACATCCAGAGCGTAGGGCACGCGGATATGTTCCACGACGCAGACGGAAACTGGTGGGCTGTGGCGCTGGCGATGCGGTCAGGGCCGACGCTGAAGAACTACCCGATGGGCCGGGAGACGGTGCTGATCCCGCTGCGTTGGGCAGAGGGCGAGTTTCCTGTGCTGGCCGGCAGCAGCGGCGTGCAGGGCTCGATGCGCGGGCCGTTGCCGCGTGCACAGAGCAAGATTCTTCGCGGCGAGGGCGCCTACCACGATGCTCCCGACGCCGTCGGCTTCGCTCCGGGCACGGCGCTGCCCAAGCACTTCCTGCACATCCGCTACCCGGCGCCCGAGGCCTACACCATCTCGGCACCCGGCCACGACGGCGCGCTCCAACTATCGCTCTCGCCGAGGAACCTCTCCTCGCCTTTGGCGAGCCATGCTAACCTCAGCAAGGAGATCACGTTCGTGGGCCGCAGGCAGGTGGATTCCCTATTCGCGTACAGCGTCGACCTCAGCTTCGCGCCGAGCGCCTCGGGCGAAGAGGCGGGCGTCGCGGTTTATTTGGACGAGAAGCGGCATATCGACTTGGGCATCCTGCGCAGCGGAAACGGGACGGCGCAGCTGCGGCTGCGGAGCGTGAGCAGTAACAACGTCACCGTGCCCGCGGACGTGGTGATGCCGCTGTCTGCCGCGGCGTTTGGTCTTGACAAGATCGCCCGCCTTGAGATCCGCGCCGCGAACGCGACACACTATACCTTCTCGGCGGGGATGGTCGGAGCGGATGTGGACGCGGATGTCGCGATGGCGGTGGTGGGTATGGCGGACGCGAGTCTCGTGAGCAGCGGGTACACGGGCGCGACGCTGGGCGTCTATGCGACGAGCAATGGGGTCGTGGGTGCAACGAGTAAGGCGTATGTGAGTCGTTGGCGGTATAAGGGGATGGGGCAGTGTGTTGGTGATAGGCGAGTTGTTTAGGGTTGCGGAGGATCGTCTCGTCGCTCTGATCTATAAATACCTAGGTGCGTGGTCGTGCCGGGTAACGCTTGGGTGGCTGCAAGTATTTGGCACCAAGTTCTTGCTCTTTTCCCTTTCTCCTTCGGGTGTCTGGATAATCTGCGAACAGAAGGCTTAAATTTCGCAAAGTGTGCTTCGAAAATCGGGATGTTCATGATTTTGATGTCGACTGTGTACGAGTTGATGTGTCTTCTTTTGACGCACTGCTGATCGTCAATGACCCTGTTCTACTTTATCATTGTGATATAGTAGTTTCTTCCTCTGGGCCGCAGTGATGACTATTCACTTACCTCATTGTGCTCTCCGTTGTTGCGGACATCAGTCATGAAAGCGCTGCTGGTTGGTTGCTTTTTATTGGCGCTGGCGGAGAAGACCAAGTCTGGATTTCAGTCCCGTGCACTAACACCTTCAGCTAACAATTCTGTGCCGATATCAGTGATGCATCAGGTGCCAAAAAGCGGCTTTTTTACTTCTCAGCCCGCTATCGGCACTGGGTTGTACCGAAGGTAACTTTCTACCGTGTAGTTACCCGATTAGGCAGGCGATAATACCGGGGGGGGGGGCAAATTAACTCGAGCCCATCTCTAGTGTGCTATTACTGTGTTCTATCTTTGAGTGGCGTGAATCTGTGTGCTGTACGTCAGCCTATTGTCACTCGCTTACCATGGACACGGCGGTGAGTAAACTGAGTAATGATAGCCATTAGGTGCATCCAAAAACTATAGGAGTCTATAGAACATGCTCGAGCGTTAAGGAGAATTTCCGGAGTGATGTCGGAAATCAAGAGGTTTCATCATGAAGCAGTCGATTATTAAATATAAACTTGACACAAACCCTTGCTCTATAATTGGGCTCTTAAAGAAGCTCGACTTCATCTTCCACCGTGTTACACAATGTGCTGTTGGCAAACGTAAAACTTTTGAGCCATTTGCAACGTGCAAAAATCGATTATATCTCTGCAACCATGTGCTGCTTCTACCAGTGAAACACTTAGCCGTTTTCTGGTTTCTGGCCATACACAACGTAGCTGATTTAGTTAGTGTGTCATTTTCTGTTGAGCCATGTATAAGATATGGAAAGACTTACAAAATGGTATAGCAGTGCATCTTGTTCGTCGAATGCTGTTCCTTAATCCCCTTCGCGAGCGACTCCATCTCTTCCCGAGACTTTCCGGCTACCATAAAACCTCTTAACAACCCAGTTTCGGCACCATGGAAGACGTTCCACATCTCCAATTTTCCGACCTTCTTAAGACGTTCATCTTTTGGCCATCCAGAAGTAGGTGTTTTGAAAGCTTTTTCCTGAGTATTTGAGAAACCCGCCTCTTTTAGATATCTGTGAAAATGACGAGGAGCATGTGCATCCGCGTTCATGGATTGACTAATCTCTATGAAAGCTTCGCACCATTTCACTAGAGCGGCGTCTTCTGGCATCGTCCCGTCGTCGCATTTTGGTACTGGCCAGACGCAAGCGAGCTCCAACCATCCACCGGGTTTGAGGTGCCTGGAGTTGTTAGCGGCTGACCATTCGGTGGTTCAAATAGCATATCCTACTCATAAGCTTGGCGTACCAAACGAGGCCAATCTCGAATGCCGAGATAGCAGTCCCGGTTGTAGATGAAGTCGAAGCTCTCCTTTTTAAAGTGCCAGTCTTGTTCGCAGTCATCCACCTCGAATTTCAAATTCGGCAGAACCGTTAGTTATCAGCATAGGTCGTTTTGTGAAACCGATCGGGCATACCAGTATGGCTGCACAGGGGCAATATCCGTCCCGATAACCTTCAGTATGTTAGTAACCAGCCTACGGATACTTCACACTGGTGACGAACTTCGGCAGAGGGGAATTTTCCGGCCATTTCCGATGCCCAGATACCTATAATCAGTCTGTTAAGCAGTGTGTACCTGAAATTAGAGTCCAGACGAAACTCACCTGTTCCCGTACCAACATCGAGTATCCTTTGAATGTCACTTCGCAGCGGAGAGAGGTAAAGCTTGTTTTCCAAGAGAAGGAAGTATTTGAGGTGTTGACAATTCAAGCGTTCGAACTCATCTTGGTCAATGAGGAAACCATAATCTTAGGCCAAGGTTAGTGTCCGTATCTTAAGGTGCATGGGATAGCTTACCATGAGAGCCGTATGCCGGGTAGATTCGGCCATTCTCCTCATAGCCTCTTTCTATCTCCGAAGTTATGCTCATAAGCTCGCTCGATGCACTGCACAAGGACGTGTCAGCATATTGGCATTAGCATGACACGTACTCTGACCTTGATTCAGCGTATCCCTCGTCATATCCATCAGAGTTCGTCTACAGGTGAATCAGTCATGATCCTTCAAAGAAAGGGGTTTCTTTTCAGCACTGACATCAGGCTCGATCATCTGAGCCGACGCCGCCATGGTGATGCGGACACGCCGTCCCCGTAAATGGGAAAGAAACCACTGCTGATAGAGTTTGCGGTCGACGTTGGTGTAGTGGCAGCGACAACGTCATCTGCCGAGTAGAGAGTTTTCGAAGTCCCTTCGGACATTCCCATTGTTCCAGGTAGAAAGGCGAAGTGCCCCACCGAGAACGAATGAGACTCCACAAGACAGGGGGAATTGCCATGTTTTTAGCCGATCAACAACCGAGGATTGCCCCTTTGCGAGACTCGTACATAATCCGAAACAACCGTGCAAACATGCCATGTGTACAATTGAATTGACCCGTAGTGTTGGTATAATCAGTGGTGTGATAATGGTTGTTGCGAGGTTCTTTGTTGGAAGTTTCAGTTAGTTGAAAACGCATTTCGAAGGCATTCACCTATCAAGAAATCTGTGGGAATTTGTTAAGACAAAACTTCGGTTACAGGTCGCAAATTGGTTTGCAATAGCTTCAGAAACCCAATAGAAAGCTTAGTATGGAAATAACCACACCTTGTTTTAGACATTGTTTAGATACAAGAGCGGCAGATGTTGCTCCCGCGGAACACCACGGTTGTTCAAATGGCCAAGTGCTGCTGCAGCCGACAACATGAACATTCCACTGTGTGTAGGACATACAGCATAAACTCGAGCGGGGAATGCGATGGCATCGCGGACCGTCAAAAACAGCCGGAGAGGAAGAAACTCACAAGAAAATTAAGAAGTGCCTGGACTGTTAGGGAGTGGCTATGATACAGCAGACATATGCCAAGTCGTACCTTAAGCAGCATAACCAAGGTTCCAGTGACCAATGGCGTACTTTGTATCCATGACCTTAAGATTTATATGTTAGTGCATGACCTAGACCTTGGTACAGGCCTGCCAATTAGCCTGATCGGCATCTGCGGGTCGCTCCCGGGTGGAATTAGGCAATTGTTGTACTCAATACCCACGAAAATCCCTGCATTAAGACTGCGGTTTCTTGCAGCGATCTACCCAGAGGCTAAATCAGCTACCCCGCCTCTTGCTACTTCGGGAAATCCACAAGGTTCCATGGGCAATATAAGTAGCCGCATCCGTAGACTAGTGTCTCGAAGCACCAACTTCAATTACTCCAAAGAAGAGAGTACTTCACGATGATTCTTGCAATCTTTGTTTTCTTCCTCGCGATTTTGGCGCGTGGGGTAATGTGTCAAGCCTCCTGCCAGGGTCTCCCCAACGGGTACTCTCCTGCAGCGAACTCCAAGCTCCCCGATCCCTTCACTTTGGCAGATGGAACCAAAGTCACTACGCAAGCTCAATGGACCTGCCGCCAGCAAGAGATCAGCCAAATCTTCCAACAGTTTGAGCTTGGAACAAAACCCCCCAAGCCATCTTCTGTCACTTCCTCTTTCTCTTCGAACTCCTTGACCATTATGGCACAGGAGGCAGGAAAGTCCATCTCCTTCTCGGTGTCTATTTCGTATCCCTCTGGCGGCCAAGGGCCGTATCCGGCTATCATTGCGTACGGATATCCAAGTATTCCAATCTCCGCAGGCGTCGCAACGATCACGTTCAACAACGACGACGTTGCCGCTCAAGTGAGCACCGGAAGCCGCGGCCAAGGCAAATTCTACAACCTCTACGGGAGCGACCACAGCGCTGGAGCAATGACAGCGTGGGCATGGGGTGTGAGTCGCATCATCGACGCATTGGAAGACACTCCGGCTGCGAACATCGACCCTAAACGCGTGGGCGTCACAGGATGTTCGAGAAACGGAAAGGGAGCCTTCGTGGCCGGCGCGCTGGATGATCGCATCGCCTTGACGATTCCGCAAGAGTCCGGGGCTGGTGGTGCGGCATGCTGGCGCATATCCGACTCGCAGAAGGCGGCAGGCAAGAACATCCAGACGGCGTCGCAGATCGTGACGGAGAATGTGTGGTTCTCGTCCACATTCCAGCGGTATAGCAGCAGCGTCAACCAGCTTCCTGAAGACCACCACATGCTGGCTGCTCTTGTGGCGCCGAGAGGTCTTCTGGTGCTTGAGAATGACATTGACTGGCTCGGTCCGGTCAGCACGACCGGGTGCATGAAGGTGGGCCGAAGCATCTACAGTGCTGTTGGCGCTCCGGATGCGATGGGGTTTTCGTTGATTGGAGGGCACAACCATTGCCAGTTTCCGTCTTCGCAGCAGCCGGAACTGTCCGCTTTTATTGATAAGTATTTGCTGGGCGGATCTTTAAGCACAGCCAATGTGGAGAAAAGCAACCAGAACGTGGATGTAGCTAGCTGGGTCGATTGGACGGCACCGACTCTATCCTGAAGTTGTTTGAAGTTGCATGCGTGTGGATGAAATACAGACGCTGTTGGTTCACTGAATTACAGCTTCCAATAAATGCAATGGATTCTGATGTTTGAGTCAAGTGATGCAGTCAAGCAGTCCTGGCCATCTTGCATCAGACTTTGTGCGGTTTGGCTGTTCGTGTGTGGTGTCTTAGACTGTTAAACAGTCACTTTCTTCACACCATTTCCGCTTATCACTTTCCCTGCAGCCATCGGGTAAACAAAGTAATCTCACCCATAAATACGTCCAGTCCAACGCGTCTCTTCACCTACTTCTTCCACCCCACCTCTTTCAAACTTCACCTACGATCGATCACTCTTGACAATCTCATCGCTTGCTCCGACGGGCTGCGATCCACTAGCAGCAGTCATGCTTCCACCTTCCTTTACGAGCCGGTATCGGCAGTACAAAGACGATACCGACATAATAGCTTCCTGGCTCGCAACTACTGCAAAAGAACTCTGATACGCTTCCAACCCTTTCGGAAAAAACCCTGCCCCTTCCAAGGGACACACATCGGAACCCTCCACAAGACTGAAAGGCAAAGCTCGCAAGAAAGAGAAAGCAGCAATGACTCACGAAGAGCAAGATTCGACGCCTTCTCAAACCCCTGTTCACACTATCGCTGTCCATGATTTCATCGACTTGGCTGATTATATTGTCAGCGCTAATGCCAAGACGCCTGTTGCGGTACCCAACCACATCTGGAATGCGCTCGACAGTGCGATATCCCTCCGGAAGGACTCTACTGCCCGCTTTTCTTCGATTCCATCATCGAGCCTCGACGACATAGAGTCTAACAGTCGGCATACACATTTTATCACAATCCTCGAACATGTCAGGAAGACTCTCAGGGCGCGGATATCTTCAGCTACACAGGATAACCGTCCCGCTAAGAAAGACTCCAGTGGTAAAACAACTACGTCAGATATCACTTTTGTCAACACCTTCGCTGGTTTGCATGTTGAAGAACCGTCAGAGTCGTTCCTGAAAGCTCCCAATGCCTTGCCTACTCAGACAGAACCAAATTACTCCGCCGAGCTACATGAAGACTTCAGGGAGGCTTAACTTATATTTTGTATGTTGATGGAAGATTTGATGGAGCTTCGCAGCGTCATCATTCCACTCTGGGAAGGGTACCTTAACGGACAATACGATTTGATAAGCGTATCCGTTACAACCAACACAGCTATAGACTTTGCTCGCTCTCTAGAGGAAGACGCGAAAATCATCATGGAGAGATTTGGTGGCTTTCAAAAGTTGCTTCCAATGGTTACATCCAGCAAATATCCGGTACTCAATAAGCCCAAGGAGCGCACCCGAATCTTCCTGGAAGACGAACAGTGTTTTGAAGTGGCTCATTCTTACTTCTTTACCACGTTCTGCCTGTTAGAGGGTAGCAACGATAAAGGTTTATGGCCAAAGTCTAACAGCGACCGTATCCTCTGGCGAGATTGGGGCCATCGCTATATTGATCCAGCTAGCGACTGGAACGAGCAAGAGCCTTTGGCTAAACACACAATGGACGAGATGATTTTAGGAGCATTCCTGCCCCAGTTGGAGGCCTACCTACGCGCCACAGAGACGGAGTCACTGGAGAGACCGGCTGACGACAATTTATCTCGGAGTGCACAAAACTTTTTCCAGAACCAGGAGATGACACTCACGCTTGTGTTTGCAACGCATATCTTTCTAGACATTCACTACATCCTGCGTGACGAAGTAGGTAAAGGTTTTATGAACCTGAAAGTCATATCTCGTCACATTGAAAACTCACTCAACAAAGCCTCGACATTTCAAAGTTCTTACCATAGCAAGACAATTACCAGCGGCAAGTTTGACAGGACGCTTAGTCTTATCAGCCGTTGGGTAAAGGAGGATCCAATACAGGCTGATCATCGTTTAATGGGTGTTCCTTCCGGTGAGGAGTTTAAGTTCCTGAAGAGCCACCCCCTTCTCTCCGGTCTATTTGCATTCAGGCTTAGCCTTGGATTTCAAGAAGTCGGCTTAAGTTTCGTAAACGAAACTAATGCTATTACAGACATAGTGCATTTGTGTAATGCTCTGGATCAGGAAGGGCTTTTCAGTGGACACTGGAAAGACATGGGGCTACTCTGCCATCTTCAAGGACAGGAGGCAATCTTGGGTGGTGTAGCGAAGGACAGAGAGGGCTACGACCGAAAGCATTCTCTAGCCTGGGGCTACTCTGTCACCGAATTTGCTCGCAACAAACGAAACAAGCCCAATTCAAAAGACGGAAAATCGTATCTCTCCGGTCGGGGTAGGAAGATTCTGGCCGTTCTGGCACCGGTGTCCCAGATATTCAAGAACCGTTACGACGGCTCTGGCCGCGTAGACTTCACAAAGAAGGATCTCGAGAAAATCGCTATTAAAAGCGGCTGGGTCGTCGATGGTACCTCCTCGGCGCTCTTACAGGCCCTGTGCATTGCCTTGGATGAAGAAGCCCTCGATCTCGCCTTCGATTATGCCACGTTGCATCGCGTATGTTGGCTGGTGCTGGGCAAGATTAGGGAGAAGTGCAACGACAAGCTTCGCGATATGCATGGCCCACTCTATAAGCCACACTCAACTCCCTTAACTCCTTTTGTTGTCGGCTTTGTTCTTGGTGCTGCGGCAGACGATGCGTTTATTGCGGACAAAGCAGCAAAGGCCAAGGCTGATGTTGTCAAGGACGGTGTGCTGGAGCAGACTGCGGAGGTCGTGAATGCCGTTGCCTGCAAGGCCTTTGGGGAAACAGTGACGAAACTCTTAGAGGACAACTATGGTATGCAGTTTGAGTTTTAGGGCCACGACGACGGTAAGGACAACAGTGTTGGAGATGTCAACAAGCAGGGCGAGGATAAGGCTTCTTGAGTGGCAAACGGTAGGGGTTTTGGCTGGGTAATGCGGCTAGCTTCGGAGGACGCTGCCCGATCCCCTCTTGGAATTGTTATCACTGTTCAACAAGGGCACCTCATAGTTGGATCGGGCCGTAACTCATACATGTGGTTTTGATAGCTTTAATGGCATTAAAATACCTTCTGACACGAATTCTTGTTGATGTGTTGTGTTGCAACAAAGAAGCACCACTTTGAATTAGTCGCCAGGCTAGGTTAATTAGGCAGGCTACAGCGAGGTGTCCTTAGACAAAGCAATCCGGCATTTTTTTCGATGTTGTGCATAGTTCTCTTTGAAGCTTTACTGTGTTAGCTACGGCTCATGTTCTTTGACATTACAAAGTTGTATGCAAAGTTGGAAAATAGGAACAACTGGACATGAAAGGGTTTAGTTAAGAAACGAAGTCTTACCTTGCCTAACCCACCATGTTGTTGCTCTTTGGGACTGTCGCGATCCCTCGCTGTTATATTATTTTGACAAGGGTCTCGAAAAAGCGAATTAAGTACTGAAGCTCCCATGGCCATGCCCGTGGTTTTATTTCCTGCTCTGCCTTTGATTGCGTTGCCCATTATTCCAATAATCTGTAAACCCGGGAAGTAGAAGCTCTCGCTAATGAACGTAGCTGTACGGAATACTCCTAGGTTGCTCCTGCGGATCGGTACAAATGTGACGACGAGCTTGGTAAATTCCCTCCTTCCGACGGAGAGCTCGTGAAGGAACCCTTCAACTGCGATCGTAGAGGATATGTATATGTCAGCCAGGATCACTCCGATAACACATGTTTCTCAGCCTCATTATTTAGTTGTTACACAACAGCCTTACCCCCTGCACTACTCATTTATCTACTGCAAGGAAGCAATGATCTCAAAGAGAAAACGTGTTCTTTTAGATAGCAGCATATATACCTCCATAGGTAGTAGTAATTTAGGACAAGCGGCGTCCAATTCCTCGCGCCCAGCTTCACAGTATAAAAAAAAATGGATGTCTGTGAAGCCGGGCGCGAGGAATTGGACGCCGCTTGTCCCCCTAAGTTGCTACTACCTATGGAGGTATATATGCTGCTATCTAAAAGAACACGTTTTCTCTTTAAGATCCTTACTCCCTTGCAGTGGATAAACGTGTGGTGTAA